CACACACATATATATACACATACACACACATACTGCATAGCATACATTTCTGAAATTACATTTCTGTTCATCAAAGATAATATTTGTATAAGTATAAATAATATAAATTATCTTCGAGCTTACTTAAAAATTTATTATAACCTAAATTCTTTAACATTTTATTAATATTGCGCACATGAAAATTTCTCTATGACAATTAGACGGCGAAAAATTCATGTTAATTCTATCATATATTAATAACTGACAATAAGTAATATTGATAATCAATCTTTAATAATCAATCATCTAGACATAAAGACCAGTCACTTAATATAAAGAGTTTATTCTCATCATGAAAAATATTAGCAAAACTTTAGCAAAATTCTAGAAAAGTTTAATTTTATTTATTAAAAGTTTGTAAATTGTTTGTTTCTTCGTGGATATCAATCGAATTTATATTTTAACTAATATCTTAAAGTAATTGTTTATCTAGGAATGCGTATATAAAAATGACTGAACATGTACATAAAACATACGATGCATATTTCTATGGTTTTTAATTTAAATAAAAACTGCTAAAAATTTTTATTATTGATATATGTGGAATGATTTTCACATTAAGATTAATACGGCTAGATCGCGATTATATAAAATGAATAATTTAATGGAATTATGAAATGATATTTAATAATGGATTATGTAAGTGACTACAGTTTATATTTAATATTTATCCCAGTGTTATATTATATAATTGGAAGTAATCCCAGTGTTATGTTATATAATTGGAAGTAATTAAGGTTAATTTAATTATTACAACTTTAAGAATAAATTAATAATTTTATTACTAAAGCATACAGTACGTAATGTTAATCTATAATAATATTAATATTAATTTAATAGCAGTCATAATTAATTCATTTCTTTTCATTAATTAATTCATTTCTTTTTAAATAAATATCGAGAAATAACATTACAATACTCACTTCAGCGAATTATTTGTTTCATATATATTTTACAAAATTAAATTACTTCGACTAAACGAATTATTTTTAATTTAAAAAATTATCTAATATCTTAACTCTCTATATCCAGATTAAAAATAGCTTTCCTCTTTTTAAAATAATTATTTTTCGCAAAGATTATATAATTTTTTATTACATTTGGAATAAAAAAGTATTTAACGAATCTCTCTCCTTCTTTCTCTCTACAAAGGATAGTGTCGTTTTTCGCACACGAAAACATAAAAGTTCTCGATATTGTTAGGGGCCGAATACGCAAGTTTCGGTGTTCGGAAAGGGGTTAAGAACGAAGAAACAACGAAAGGGAAACTTTCCGATCTCGTGTGATCGTGTTAGCAACGAGACGGGGGTGCGAGTAGACGAGGGAATTCTGGCAGGTATTATCTCTCTCTCTCTCTCTGTCCGCATGATATCGCGAGAAGACGAGGGTGGAAGTGGGGGTGACTTCGAGAGAGCGTCGGGACGCCTCGATTCTCGCGCTCAGTCACCGCCCAAGCCGCGCCGCGAACGATCCGTCGTGCTGCTGTGAGAGAACGAACAAAACAAGCAAAAGTGTGCATCCGCGTGTATCCCTGCGAACGACGACGTCTCGGATGCACCGAATAAATTCTGCCGGTCGCAACCCGTCTTGCGTCGCCCCGTAGTTTCCCTTTTTTTTTTGCGGCTGTCAGTGATCGTCTTCCCCGCTCGTGAGATCGCGTTCGGTCGCACGCGTGCGGGATCGGGAACCGGTTATCAGCTCTTATCTTTTGAAGCTACCCGCGAGGAGGGGAGGGGGGGAGAGGGAAAGAGAGAGAGAGAGAGAGAGAGAGAGAGAGAGAGAGAGAGAGAGAGTAG